ACAGTAAAGATTATTATTTATATCAATGAATAAACCATAACAACTTCCATTAACATTCATAACAGTAATACGATTTAATGTATTAAATATATATTTATCAACTCGACCATATGAGTAACCATTATCAATATAAATATCACCATTTATAGACATAAAAAGACTATATGGATTACTCAAATTACTGTAGCTATTACTTGGTGATGTAGTACTCCCTTGAGGCCATGATAAAATAGTGTTACTAACTCGATTAGGTACATACACAGTATTAATTCCATTAATAAAAATACCATAAGGTAATGTACCAATTGTAGTACTTGATGCAAAAGTTGATGCATTAGAATACCATAAAGCATTTGAGCAAAATGTTGGTTGATTATAAGAAAGACCTAAAATAAATAAATTTATATCATCGAAAAAATAAACTAAAAATAACTTACTACATGAATTTGATGCTAATATAAACTTTTGCACTCGGCTATTACCATTATCAGCAACATATAGATTTCCATAAGTATCAAATCTTAAAGTTGTTGGATAAGACAATTGACTTGACGAAGAACCAGCAATAGTTGTACATCCAAATAAACATCGAAAACCATATGGTCCTGATGCAACTATTCGTTGATTATAACAATCCGCAATAAAAAGATATCCGTTACCATCTAATGTAATACCATTTGGATAATAAAGTGTAATAGTTCCTGGTACACTAGCTCCTGCTAAAGTTATTCCAGTTAATTCTCCAACGGGAAACATTTGCACCCTTTCATTAAAAGAATCTGCAACATATAAATTAACTTCAGCATCGACAAAAGTTCCAATAGGCCCATTAAGCGTAGTTGCTGTTGATCCAGCTGTACCTGTACCGGCAACAGTAGTTGATGTAAGTACATTATCATTTAACCATTTCTTAACAACTGTATTAGAAGTAAATGTAGAACAATAAAGAGTATTACTAATATCAACAAAAATAGCAGTACATCCATAAGGAACTGTTATTACAGAATTACTTATATTTGAGTTTAATGAAAATTTATCAACTCGACGATTATTTACACCATTATCAACATATATATCACCTAGAGGAGTAGCGAAAAGATCATATGATGCACTTAGACTACCAGAAAGAATTTTATCTGGATTAGTACTTCCTTCGAACCATATTACAACCTTATTAGTTTGTTGATTAGCTACATAAACAGTATTATCAAGACCAACAAAAACACCATATACATTTGCTCCAGCCGTACTACTATTAGCAAATGTAATCGCATTTGTATACCATGTTGTAGATGGACATAAGTTTGGTCGATTAAGAGTCACATCTAAGAAAAAGTGAAAATTGATTAGATATCTCGTTCATTTCTGTTAGAAAATATTGTCAAATCATTCTTATTCAAAAGAATCATTTCAATTTCAATGAAGAAGTAGAAGAAGAATATCCTGCTGTTTTCAGCTATCTTGTGGTATTAAGTACTATCTGAAGATAATTCTTCCGATGAATCACTGAAGTAAAGCAGCTCAACTTCCAATGACTTACAAGACCAAATCTAGATCTTGTGTTCTGAACTTCGGTTAAATTCTATAGTTCAAATTTAATAAAATCCACTTATTTATATTCATGAAACAACTAATAAAAATGCGGCTGGTAATTGTTTAGAGCATTAAATAACATTTTTGTTTTGCGTTATATTCGCAAACAGACTGTTCACTCAGGAGAAATATGCAGTGAGAGAGATATCAATCGACGCATATATATAGCGATGCCAGCTTACTTACTCAAATATGTACAAGATAACCAGTCGCGAATAACTTCAAGGGATAGTCTGATTTTGAAACTCGGTATTTTAGACACTTTTTAATCTTTATTTATCAAATTACTATTCATATCATCGATACTACAGCTATCTGAGCAGCATAGTACGGCCTATTTGTTGAAATGAAAATTTTGAAAATGCAATGAAAAGATAAAATATTAGAATATTTTCCCTCATTTGTTCGATAATGAGAAAAGAAGTTCTATTGTACTTACTATAAACAGTACTTGTTATAAGAAACTTTTGTATTCGATAATTGTTTTGATCAACAACATACATATTTCCATAACTATCAAAACTTAGAGCTGTTGGATAGTATAATTGATTGGATGATGCCCCATAAGCGCCTGAACATCCAACTAAACAGCGGAATCCATTCGGTCCTGACCCAACGATACGGTGATTATTATAGTCCGTAATGTATAGATAATCATTAGCATCAAGAACAATTCCAGTAGGACAATTTAAAGTAATAGTTCCTGTTGCAACCGTTTTTCCAATTACTTGTGTTGATAAAAATAATTGAATTCGATTATTTCCACAATCAGCAACATACAAATTCAGATCTGTATCAACGTAAATTCCACGAGGACCATTAAGTGTATTCGTACTTGGTGCTGAACAGTCTGCACCAGCAGCAACTATCCACATAGCTGAATTATTATTCAATGATTTCATGACAACTTGATTAAGTGCATTTATTGAACAATAAAGATTATTATTAATATCGATAAAAAGACCCCAACACGAGTTCTTCACATACATTGCTGAAATACTAGTACTTGAATTTAATGTCCATTTATCAACTCGAGTATTTGAACCACCATTATCGACATAGATATCACCATTAATCGCAACGAATATAGAATATGGATTAGATAAACCACTGGTAAGATTTCTTATGGGTACGCTGCTACTATCATGCCACACCTGAACACGGTTTGCAGTTCGCTCAGATACATATATGGTATTGTTAGTATCAATAAATATACCATACGGATATGTTCCAAGTGTGGTTGTATTTGCAAATGTTATTCCATTGGCACTCCAAGTAGTATAGGCAGTTAATTCCGGTACGTTGTACCAAAGAACTAAAAAACATATTTAACTAAAGTTCTTATAAAAATTATTAAACTATATCAACGTCAGCAAAAGCCACTTGGCTTGAATAAGCCCGTATTCGACAACGATATATGAATCATCTACTCTATACTTAGATATTATGGATTTGCATACGCTTAACGATTTGTTTTTTGTTTCGTTAGATTAATAGATTCGTTTGGTACATCAGAAACTCTATACAATCGTTGAAATCTTTTATCGTCTTCCGTTAGCAACGCTCAAGAACAGAGAAATCAGAATTTTTAAACTGTCACGAAACTTCTACACGAATATTCCGATAAAGAAATTACATACGTGTTGAAGACGATGCAGTTGTCGAGTTTGTAACAAGAGAAACTGATTGAGCAGTATTGGTTGATGTTACTATTAAAAAGAATATAAATTATTGGTAAAGTATAATTGATGAGAACATACCAGTAGACATAGTTGTTACCGTTGTCGTTCCATCTATAAGAAAAAAAGAATAGTTTTATACACAAATAGACGCAAGACAAATGTTTCTCTCCCGAATTTGAATATAAAGACATGTTTAAGTATATTATGAATTTTGACGAAGAAAATATCGACTCTCGTTCACTTATACTTATACCTGTCTATTGTTGAATGTGATACAATTAATTTTTACTTACTACATGAATTTGTAATCAGAAGAAATTTTTGAATTCTATTATTGTTGTAATCAGTGACAAATATGTTTCCATAACTGTCAAAACTAAGCATTTGTGGGTTATATAACTGATTCGATTGCGATCCTTGTCCAGAACAAGCTGCAATACATCGAAATCCGTAAGGTCCTGAGCCAATAAGACGACTACTAGCATAATCAACAATGAAGAGATATCCATCAGCATCAAGAACAACTGCAGTCGGCCAACTCAATACAATGGTTCCTGTTGGTATTGTTGTTCCATTTAATTGTCCTGATAAAAATTTTTGAATCCGATTGTTGCCACCATCAGCCACGTATAAATTAAGATTATTATCGACAAAAATCCCACGCGGACTATTAAGTGTAAGCGATGTTGCTCCAGCAGTTCCTGTACCCGCGGCAATGCTCCATATATTTAAACTATTGTCCAGTGATTGCGAGACAATTTTATTAGAAGTATACATTGAACAGTAGAGCATATTATTAATATCAACGAAAACACCAGTGCATTGTGAACAAACATACATCGCTGGAACACTACTATTTGAATTTGATCCCCATTTGTCTACTCGCATATTTGAATAGGCATTGTCGACATAAATATCACCATTGTCTGTGGCGAAAAGGCTTAAAGGTTTGATTAAGCCACCGGAGATAGTTCTTGACGGTGTCGTATTGCCGTTAAGCCATACTTGGATCCGAGCATTTAACTGATCAGCGACATAGACGGTGTTATTTGAACTGACAAAAATACCAACGGGAGATGTACCAACCGTAGCGCTAGTCGCAAACGTTATGGCTGTAGAATTCCACGTTGCATTTGCACAAAGTTTAGGTTGATTGTAGGAAATACCTAGGTAAAATAAGAAAACTATGTCTGGAATTTGAACGATAAAGATTATTATAAACTCAAATGGAGCATTTAGTATTTTCGTTCACGATATTACTCAATCAGGAACTTCTATAGAAATTTTTTTTCGAAACCTTGATATTGATTTCTAAGACTACTACTTCGAGCCCTAATCTGTCAAAATATTCTGGCATATAATGAAAGTCTTGGAAATGTAGTTATCATATCGAGTTTAGCCATTGACAGAAAAGTTTACTGTGGCCTCAATCATTTCTCACATTCTTATCGATCGAATAAGTGTAATGATTTTTGATGAGATTTGTCGGAGATTTATGTACGAAAAAAGATCGAAGCTCAATAATTTTACTATTGCTATCACAATTTTGAAAAGTGTATTAAATACGCACCTGATAGTGGCCTAATAAACAGCAACCACAACCAAATATGAAAAAAATAAAATAATATCATGTATATTATCTAAAATACAATTCATTGTCATATTAAATAGGTAGTGACATTTGATGGCACAATTACACCGATAAACTAAGTCATCATTACCATCTTAGCGGGATTTTGTTTACGAGCATCCCTATGAGAAGTTTATAAAATCATTCAGAAAGCACTTTTGTTTTAGAAAAAAAATCTTATGCAACGTAATTAACTGTAATAAAGTAATCCGACACGAATTTACTGCTATCGGGCTGCCACTCTAGAGATCTATGAGCGATTTTGTCATCGAAATTATAACGAAACTATTATTCTGTGTAAGCTTCGACTATCCTAGGCAATTCATACTTATGGCAATTTGTTTTACTTGTATATGCTTCATAATTCTTTATTCTTCAATAAAAAAAACTTTAGAAACGTTCTTTTCTATAATGTATAGAAATTGAATTAATTTTTTTCGTAACTGATTTCTATCATAAAACTAACTATATGCTATAACAAAATACGATTCCGGAGAGGTTTGTTTGTTGAGTGTTACCATCGTTAATATTGCCTCGTCTATTCAGAGAACGACAAAAAAATTTGTTAAAAATTATTTTTTTCTTTGTTGTTAACTTAATGGGAAACATTTACGAGATGAAAGTTAATATCTTAAATATTATTTTTACATAGTTACATTTGTTTTCTTCATGTTTATCTCGTCACTCAAAATTCTAACTGAAAGATATGATCATATAACTGTGAGGAAAGGCATGTAGATGAATTTAGTACCATATTCCTGCAGGAAACTATTCCAAACGTTTCAATCAGATCTATCCGATGATATAGTCAGACACATCAGAACTGAAACTGTAATTGTCGAATTTTTCATAACGCCATCTATGATTTAATCGAATGCGATGTTAAATTCACCCGCGTAGATAGTATTAATAGGGTATGAAGAACCAGTAAATTATTGATTTGCGATAAAAATAAAACTCGTTGGTGGATAATATACGAAAGTCGATAAAATAAATAGATGATTTGTAGAAGTCCTAATACAATTACGGGGCATCTTAAAACGATCTCTCTAACAATCGACTCTTATTGTATCTTTTATACGCGCATAGAAATTCGACTAGTAGAATTTTTCACGGGTAACTAGATTCAGAAGTTATGACAACTTCAGTTATATGGATTTCATTGAATTTTTTTTAAATTAAATATCACATCTATTCAAAACACTTTCGCGCAACATGTCTTACGGAATATTATCCCCAAATGTTCGAAAAACTACATAATTATTAGATTTCATCTTACCTTTATTACATGAAAGTTTTTATTTATATACCTCTACAATATATTGTTATAAGAGTATGTGCATCTCTTCATTTTCTCAACTAAAAATACAATGAAACTATTTTTAGTTAAAAATGTAATTGTTTTCATCTTTTTTTCTTTATCAAACGTGAAAAAAAAAGAAAAAAAGGACATACAGTTTTTAATATAATAAGAAGAAAAAGTTTTACTCATTGCATTTGGTTAAAGTAATTTTCATAACAAAAAATACACTTATTCAAATAAACTGTGTTTTTTTATCATATCATATAAAAGTTAGAAAAAATACTTTTTTCCTACTTAAGTCTTATCTCTTGACAAAGATCTTTTCGTAACTTCAAACATCTATTAACTTGTATTTTTCGAAGAGAACAATTATACTCATGGCTATTTCTCTAATGGGCTAGTTATAAAAGATTTTCATTGTTAATATATCAAGAATGAACTTCATATGTTTGAGTGAAGTGTATTCCTGTCAATATTTAAAATAACTCATCGAGATTCTTTTCAAAAGTGAATCATTTTTTGCATCTTGTACGAAAAAATGTTCACTGTTAATAATGTATTAAGAGAAACTGCATAGGATTTCTGTACAATATGACTGATAGCTTTTATCTAAGGTTTGGAAAAATCATAATGATACCTTATATTCACAAAAATTTGCCACTTTAAACATTTTTTAAGCAAGAGGAGAGATTATAATAACTGATTAATATTCTAGAGAATTTCCGAGATATGCTGCTGTTTGACATCATACTATTATGTTGATGATGCTTGTATTTTTTATCTCATCACTCTTATGTCATGCTTTGTTGCACAGCTTCAGTAATAAGTAAAGTAAACTACGTCATCAAAAAAAATAATTATTTTAAATCAAGAAACGCTCAATATATTCATCTGCAGAAAGTCAATTCAAAATAATAATCAATAGAATTATTCTATGTCGATGTTATCTTAAGATTTCACTAATCATAATATTGAAACACATCATAGCACGATTCACAGATATAATAATAAAATTCAACTGCGAAAATCCTTGACAAATAAAAAATATTCTCTTTTACTACTTGCAGTAGAGTGAGAATTTGCTGTGCACTTAATTAAGTAAAACTTTTTTGTGTAAGAAAAAAATTTATTTATAAAAGTGAACAAGAAAAGAAAAGAAAAGAATCAACTAAAATTTGTTTGAAATTGTTATTATTTCTGTGATATATCATTTAAAAAAGATAAATGTTTTTATATACCAGTAGCCGATTTGTCTTGCTTATTAACAAATTATTGTTAGATATTCCGAAATTTTGAATGGATATGATGGGTAGATGAGGAGAAACAGAAGATATATATCCACACTCTCAAGATTGAAAAAAATATTTTATATCTAGTCTTATAGACTTCATCACACTAATCGTGAAATCGATATTTTTATTGAATAATTCTCTGAAAAATGTTCCTCTCTTTTGACTAGAATCATATCTTCAATTTAAGTTGTTTTTAGAAAGAAAAAATAATATTTATTTAAAACTAACTTGTTATTATCATCGTTGTTGTTTTATATTGAACAAGGAGAATTATTAAAATAATAATCATCAATATTAATAACATAAGTAATATTGATAGCAAACATTTCATTCCTGTATTTTATTTTAAAATGAATATATGAAGTTCCATTTTCTGGCATATTCCTGAATATATTCTTCAATACCAAACGGAGATTTTTTTATTATATCAATTTATATTGACTTAAAGTTATTCATCTCATAAATTGATAGTTAAACTCTGAAAGGAAACTATATATTGATTTGGTTTTTTGCTTGAGAACAATATTGTTATTATCATTATGTTACTACTTTCATATTTGCATAAATTATTCACTTATTTAATTTTACTGATCACCTGAAAAATTACATTATATAAATAA